AAAATATATGGAAACAGTATCTTATCAAACACAGCACAAAGTACAAACTGCAGCATAATGAAGAGTGCTTCATATTGAGCTTCAGTAAAAATGTAAATGTTTTGTATTTAGGTATTGATGAATTCAGTTTGTCTTGCAAACAGGGTTTTTGGACACATTATTTTCATAATTTATTACTCATTATTGTTTAACTAATCATTTGGTCTACATACCATTGAAAAACAGTTAAAATGCCCATCACAATGTTCTACAGCTGGGTGGGTCATGTCTTGTTGACCAACAGTCCAAAACCCAAAAGTATTAATTTTATGATATCACAAAAAAGGAAAAGCAACAAATCCTCACATCTGACAAACTTAAAAAGAATGTTTGAATGTTTTTACTTAAAAATGAACAATTGATTCTTAAAACAGTTGCTGAATAACTAGTACATCCCCCCATGCCCCCAAGGACTTTGCCAGTCATCACACAAAAAATAACTGCCAGAATTGAGTTTCAGCATAGGTTTGTCTTTATGTGTCAATGAATAATATTAAAATAAACTCTAAGCTCAAACTGCCATAAAGGTGAATGTAATGAAAACGAAAAATATGGACAAATATGGTGAAATCACACAGCAGCAGCCAAACATCAAAGCATGACCTTTAATGACAGCTAGAGACACAGGCGACGACTCTATGATGTGAGCATATCCGTGGAAATCGGTGAGCTCAGTGTTTCTATGCTAGCTAATGTGTTTATACCAATTATGGCTCAGCTGCAATAGAAATGTACATTTAAAAAAGAAAATTTGCTGCTAGCCAAAAGAGGAAAATAACTACTGATTTTATAAGAAATCAAATCCATCAGGAACAGAGGAGCAGCCTCCACCTTTATGATGGAGCAAACTGGATTAAGCCCATCAGCATTCCACAATAAGAGCATTTCATCGGACTCTCTCTGTCCCCAGAAAAAGAAAGTTATCACACCCCTGAAACAGAGGCTGTAGTACACCTCTGCAGCTGTCTGCACCCAGTCTCCAGCAACGTGACTCAGTGTCAGGTTGAAGGGTGTGCAACAAAGGTCAAGACTGAACCATCTTTTTATGGGGATCAAAGACATACCGTTTGAAACGCAAGTGAATGCTAACAGGCTCAGAATCTGCTTTGGGCTCCTCTTCATTTGCTGGGCAGCCTTTGCTTCCACCCTTTCCTTTCTTCTTAGAGGTGGAGTTTAATAACTGCTTGGTTTCTGGATGAAGACCCTCTGTAGAAAAGACAAAGAGACAAGCCAAATGGTTATCTATTATAAAACAAAAACATTAATGTAAGATTATGTACAGAGATCGCCAGTGTATAATACGTCTAGAGCATACGCTATATTGTCATCCACTATGTGCTTAGGTCAGCTTAATTATCTCAGTGTGGGAATAACTGATGCATGAAAGAGCTCTTTTCCTCCATGTTATATGTACACTAGGTGCTGTATCAGTGCTGGCACCTGTTCAGTGTGCTGACCTCGAGGTCAACGTTTGTCCTCCTGATGTAACTGATGAAGATGTCTTCAGTTGCTCCTCGAGTCTCTATATGGTCACTGCATTAGTCTGTCTTATCCTGACACCAACACCCCAGTATTGAGGTGTCACTTCTCATCATTCCTCCATCACTTGGATCTCATTCTCAGCTATACTGAGCTGTTTCCTGTCAATGCTGCGTTGCCGTTCAGTGCTCTTCATGCATGCACCACAAATTCTTCTTCTATGCCATCATATCCGCCTTGTCTTTCTGTATTTGTGTTTCAAGGACAGAATCTGGCCACGTGTTTGCACACAAGGTAAGAAATGTTCTGGGTTCACTGCTTTGCATGCCGGCTGTCTGACTTTACATACAACGGCGCCAGCATTCTTCATGTTATCGTTATGCCAGTGTGAGCGCTGTTATGGTTGCAGCACAGCCAGCAATCAACAATCTTTTATTGTCTATGATCAGTTTAAGACGCCCATTTACATCACAAAACATAAATACAAGCAAAACTAAGTCATTTGGGTTCAAAAAGGAGGCACACTTTTACATGCTTGACCTCAAATTTATTAGGTAGTCATCTGTAAAAATAGAAAACATTTACCACATCTACTATACAGTATAACAGAACTACTGCACAGACAATCACTGAAGCCTAAGAATCAAGATAAGTACTTTTGAAGCATTAGGGATTTGACTAGTCGCCTACACATCAGACAAGGTGCACAATTAACACCCAACAAGAACCAGATATGGATAAAAATGGCTTTGGTGGACAAATAAAACGGGGTCAGTGGTCAAGTTTGCAGTACATTTATCTGTAGAGATGAAACATGACACCAAGTTTAAACCACTGTGTTTTCTGTGCTTAGAGTAGATAAAAGCAGGAAGAATGATACTGTTCTGTCCCCTGTGCCCACTGAAAAACTGTAATACAATGACCTCATCATTAATAATTGATTTATTCACATTAATTGACTGGCTGATGTGCTGCGCAGCTTCAGGACTTTAAGGGTGTATTAACTAAGATTTTACACATTGTATGATAAATCAGGTGAAAATGAGACAGGACATCGTATCCCCCTGCCATTCTACACCACTCCATGACAGTCTGCTATTCACAGCCCTTCTATTGTTATTCCATCTTTTCTACCCTGTGTCATAATCAGGTTTGTAAATAAGCCCCGCCTGCTACCTAGCGAAGGTTAAAGTAAATCTTTTTGGAAACACAAGCAGTTGTTTCAAAGCTCTCGGCAACAAAAGGTCTGGGATTAGTGCATAGGAGATTACCAAATTTACACCTTTGTCAGCCAACGCTAGCCTTAGTCTGGGGGCTGCATTTTGTACAGTTGTTGTGATCAGACATCAAACTGTAGTTTACAACATCACTAGAAAACAAGATATAATGGGAGGGGCAAGGAGTGGTTAGGAGCAGCTTATGGTGTCAGTTTGAGTCTCATTAGCCCCTCTAGTGGTTGAGGAAGACATCAGGTAGAGCAGCTTTAATAACAGTCACTGTTATAAAGCTACAACTAATGAATACATATGTATAAGATGGAAGAAATAAAGAATCTTCAGTATGTCTGTGTGTCACTGGGAAAGAATTAGGCATTGGTAAGACTGTGCCATAGTATTTAATAGAGTATTTGATTACTAATCAAAAAACTATTTACATAATTTATTAAGTATATACGCCAGCTTACAAAAATGCTTGCCAGCCTCTAATTATAGCTTCTTAAATGTGAACATTTGGGTATATCACAAGGAAGCTACAATACTGGCAACTGACAAGTTGTATCGTATCAATACCTGTGAAGATTAAAAATGCCACAACACTGACAACATAATAAAGTGTTTGCACATTGGTAGAATTTTACCTGGGATGAAATGGCTTCAAAGAGATGCCTTTTGAAAATACAGGAACATGTTCATATGCAAAGCAAAACCTCAAATGGCGAGTAGAGGAAATACAGATCTAAAACAGAAATACTGATCTAAACTTATCTTGACATTTATTGATAAAGTCTGTTATCTACTTGTATTGTCTTATTGATTATTTGCTCAGCCCCTTATCAGTTGAATAGTGCCATCTTTGCCCTAAAGCCTATAGGAGTCTCAGATGAACAACGCTGAATATCTGCATTATATTCATCCACGAAGACGTGCATGCCCTGTATGTCTAAGACTTCTGAGTATGCAAGTGTGAGGCAGTGAAGAGGATGTAGGTGAGGTTCTCTTTCTAAATGTTTTTGTTTTCCCTTCCCTCCCGGTGTGGAGCCATTGGTTTGGAGCAACAGAAGGTAAAATAAACAGAGCACAGACTTCCCCTGGAACACAGGCAGTCCCCAGAGGAATTCTGGGAATGTGGCTTGGGATGTCGAGCCTACTGCTCTTACCACATCCTGAAAACTGGATTTTGGGGTTCAGTGGACAAAGAAAGGTAGGGAACGTGTTCTGGATATGTGTATGTATCTGCGCTGTACAATGTCAAACTATACTTTACTGGAAACCCTAAATGAGTTTGATATGTGCAGCAACAGTAGTTTTTCTGATATTGTGACCCGGGATAAGAAACAAGAACTCCTTACTTCAGGAAATCCTTACCTTGTACACGAATCTTGAACTTCCCACTCTGTCCGAACCCACCCTCAATGACGCCACTCTCTCCTGTAGACAGTGTGACCTTTAACCCCACAAACAGCTGCAGGTTGGTCTCCTTCTTAAACAGGTTGCGGCCAATCACAGTGTAATCATCAGTCACCTGAGCAGAGGAAGCTGAGACTTAAGAGGTGCAGCGCTAACAACCTGAAAGCTCAAAATGCCATGAATGATTAGAAGTGCTTGTTAAATGGTCTGCAATCATGTGATCTAATTACAACAGGATTGAGTTTTACTTCCTCTGATGTCTAGATCTTTTGGTTTTCATGATTTCACTCTGCCACCATAGGTGGATGAGGAAGAAGAGCTGATCTGGTCCTGTGGCCTCATCAACCACAGTGCTCGCCCGTCAGCCTCATTCTTTGATGCGTGCCACCTAACTGTCTAACACTCTAACAACCTCCTGCACATTTTATGCTATATTTGTTTTTATTTCTGGCATATCATCCATCACTAAATCAATCTAACCTGCCACTTACCTGAAAACAGGAGGGCACCGCGCTGTCTAACTCACCCCTACCAGCAGCTATTCCTCTCTCTTCTGCCTAACCCTCGTTCATTCTTGAACATTTGACCCTGACGTCACTCAAGTGTTGACTGATGCGCTGATTTAAAGAAAAGAATACAGTTGCTGTACACGTCTGATAGACCGTGTGAATTGTGACTTGATGAGACCGTCATATCTCAGCAATGCCAGTAATGTGTTCTTTTATGAAAAGGAATTCTTAAGTCTTGAAATACAACTGCCTTTTTCTGAGAGACAGATGAATGACAAATGCGATGTCACATGAACATGGGCTGCTTTCTCACACATGCTCTTCTACTCCTAAGTCAGTGACTGGAGCTGTCAACAGCCTGAGGTGCTAACTGCAGGAAACTAGTTCACACACTTGATCCTTGACCTGAATGTGAACCTACACAAGGAGAAACAACTGTAACACGCAGAATGGCATGAGTCATAATGTCTTCAATGTGCAAACAGATGAAAATACAAACTGCAAGAGGTCAAGGAGGATGCTGCCTTTTTTTGATTATGAAAAAAATGATTTAGATATGATATGGGTCAGTATGAACTGAAGTTCAGGACAGAATGTAACAGCGATCACAAGACCAAAAGTAAAAGTAGCATGTGTAGGAGAGAGGAAGAGAAAGAGAGGGAAGGATGCTAAGCCAGACAGAAGTGAGGGAAGAGTCAGGTGAGCTCACACAGTCATGTGGGTATTCCTGTGCCACTCAGGTGTGTCCAAACAGCGCCAGCTTCTGACAGTGAGACGGAACCAGTGGCGTCAGGTGGCCACCCACACACAACTCTGTGTCACAGCGCATGTCCAGG